AGTATCCTACATAGTGTGATAATGACTACATGACCCACTTAGTGCTGACTATAAATATATTGGGCCAGCACCATATACCCTAAACTACTGTTTTTCATTTAGTGTCCGCTTACCCACTTTGGTCCACAGAACAAATTTAACTTTCTGAGTCCCAGGGGTTTAGCATTAGAGGCCAAAGGGGTGGTAAGACAATTTTTTAATTTCACAGGCTTTTACAACCGTCACTGGTAAATTAAAAACCTGTACACATCACACATCAATTAGGGGGCTGGGTAGTAACCAATTAGCGCTTGATGCGTTCACTGGCACTCAAAGAGTTAATGGGCCCCTGACATCATTAAAAAAAAGACATTATCAACTTTAGAATGCAATCCTGTTTGCGATTCTGATATTTATAACTTATAATAAATGTGTCAGTATGACTATTAGAAAGTATTAGATCTATATCAGAACTTCAGAAATAAGAGGAGTCCGCATGTCATGGCCAGATCTAAACATTTCATGTTGTATAAAAGAATCACTAACTACCCAACCAGCAATGAATTTGTGAGAAATATAAATATTAAAAAACAGAAATACTAAATGTACTTTTTTTTTTTTTTAAACAATATAAAATGCAGACCTGATAAGGAGAACTCACCTGGGATTGAACAAACGGTTCTTCTTATACAAAATTCCTCTTATCCAGATAAGAATTCAAGCAAGAAAAATTGCTAAGCAAATGGTTCTTTACAACAGAAATTTGCCACATTCAAGACCAGGTTAAGCGGTCTACATTGTATTTATGTTTTAATTCTTGTGTACATTTTTGGAGAAACAAAAATTATTTATGCGCTAAATTTTTTAAATGTTCATGTCAGTTAACTGGATTTCTTTCTAATCTCTTTAGAGAAATCAAATAGAGATACACATTTAGGAAAGAAACAGCCCAGCAGTGGGAAGTCAAAACAGTCATCACAAGATGAATCAGATGCTGGCGTCCCAGGTACTCATTTCTGGTACAAGATAGTAGTAGTAGTACATTTTAACCCACTAGGGCATCACACAAGTGATAAACACCCGATGACACAATGTGCCACCATGTGAATGAGGATCACAGTGGAGAGGTCCCGGAAACCACCTCCAGCCATTATGGCTGGGCTATATTGCGGCCCCTGGCAAGAGCCAGGGTGGGGCTTCAAAATAAAGAAAATTTGCATCCCACAAAGGGATGATTTACAAGACAGTAAAAGTATTTTTTAAAATATTTTTTAATAGTCCATGTGTATGGTCTTGGTAGTCATGTCTGTGCACAACCTTCCGTCTCATGTCTTTTAAATCATTTCTGACACAGATGATTCTTCATGGTATGATGTGCCAAATAGTTTAGTCTCTTCTTTGTCTCTCTCTGTCTACCTCTCGTCCCCCTCCTTCCAACTCACCTGCTGCCATGATATACTCCATTTTCCTTGTCACGGTGTCACCAAAGAATGTAGATTGTCTCCTTCTGGTTTGGGGTATTCAGCTGTCTTCATGGATTAATTTATCTCAAAACAGCTTACTGTTATCTGTCCATCCTGTTCTCATCATAAACAGTACATCACAAGAACAGAGGTTAGAATATGACATGTTTAAATCTTGAGACAGAATAATGGTCTTCCAGAACACTTCAAATATTCACAAAGATAGGCTACCCAGTATAATTACTATGTTTGTTTGAAAGTAAATTTAAATTATGCTGAATGTGACAATCTGTACTTCTACAATCTTATACTATTAATACATAACCTATGTGATATTGCATTTACCAAACATAATTAGTAGACATAAATATCCATGCTTCAGACAGGAAATAAGGCACTTCTCCGAATAACGACTCAAAATTATCAAGCTCAAAATCGTACCCTTACAGAGCCTCAGTGATATGTAAAATTAGGATGGATTTATTTCCGGCAATTATGGCTGACAGACGATCAGCTTCGACACAGATTAGCAATAATGTTCTTTAATTGATGAACTGGCAGCTGTAGATGTTACACCTAGAGACTTATATATATTAATGAATTATAAACTACAGTGGCTGCAGTGGATAGCTACAATCTACATACATATTAATATGAAACACGGTTGAATGTTATTGCTGCAAATGTCCAATGTCCTTAGTTTCACTGTTGGACTGTTTTGACAGATTCTCTTGATGGTATAAGGGTTAGAGTTATGGCTAACCCTAACTGTAACACCAAAATAAGTGAAGGGTTATGGATGCAACTCAAATGGAAGCAACTACTGATGCTCTGTAAGAGTAGGTTTTCTGAGCTAGATAATTTGGGCCTGTTATTCCGGGGAGTGCCAGAAATAAAAGCTAAATATCCCAATTATAACTGGATTGGGTTGAACACAAGATTGTTGTTTAAATCATCACTACTTTTGTTCTCATCATAATTCACCATCCCCTTATGGGATGCAATTGTTCCTAATTTTTTTCGTTATTCTTTCATTTGGAAAAAATATGAAACTTCTTTCCCTTGTCCTATCTCATTTGCCCATGTATTGACACACATACGATGGAAGATAACCACAGAAAGATGTTTAAAAATAAAATTTATGTTTTTTGTACAGGATCACCAAAGACTCCTCAGATAACAGATCATGTATCCTCTGCTCTCAGTCCTGGAAGTCAGAGTCCTAGCAGCATTTATGTTCCCCAGGAAGAGACAGGTTGTTGTTGTTAAAATTTTATCATGTGTTATCAGCTGATGTAATTGTTGAGGCAGGGAAATCCGTGTTATGAGTTTTATCATCCAAATCTAAATTCTGCTTTTTCACATTTGTGTAATCTCCCTAACTCCCTAATCTAGTAGCATGACTAGGATGACCAGTGTTTGACTTGGACAACAGTTGGAACTCTGACTAAAGCTATTGGACAAAATATTGGTATGATTTCTCAGATAATTCTGACTACCCGTTTCATAGGACAGCTACATTGAGTTGAGTCAAGAATTGACAGGACTCGGGGCATATCTATATGAGCTCATTCCCCATCTTCGGCAGCCAGCACAGTATTCCAATGCTAATGGCACTGGTTGTAGTCTGATTATATGTCCATCTTGCCTTTCCTCTGAGTGTAGTGACCCAGCAGGACCCTCTGGTCACACTCAGGTGCCTCATGCTCTCCAGGTCATAATAATCTAGTTTCTTTTCTGACCTTGTTACTTGTTCCCAAAGGGAATTGACCCCACCTGCCTTGTCATGTATCAATTCACCACCCAAACATGCAGATCCAATCAATCTCTTTGCTTGTTTATTCCCCCACAACGCAAGCGTGGCCGAGACAAAAGATCTAAAGTATGCCCACTACCTGTGACCTTCCAAGTGAAGCTTGCCAGTCTGCTCAAAGCAACCTTGTCTTCACCTTTCTCAGCATGCTTTCAGAGTCTGTTACAATTTTGACATGTATCGGCATCTTTTTCTCTAGCCATCGGCAAGCTACAGTAACCGCCCTCACCTTCATTCTTATGCTAGATGTTGTGGTATCATGCTAGGCTGTCCTGCGCTAAAGATTTTCCATTGGCTTTCGCTACGAACCCCAGGGCAGAACAACTACCTGTCAAAGTGGCAATAAAACATGATGGTTGTTGTGTATCTTTTACAGGACGTTGCAGAACCAACCCCAACAGCCCCTGGCTGTTGTGTGGTTTTGCTAGGCAAATTTACGTCCAGTAGTTTGCCATTGCTTTCTGGACGGTCGGCTTTCATGATACCACTGTCGAAACCAACGCAAGGTGCATGGCCTGCAGCTGGGATCGAACCTGGCATCCCGGCATTACGAAGCGTTCGCATCGACTTAGCCACAGAGCCGACAGAACATGATGAGATGATGGAACTCATAAGATCAAGTCGTTCTCTCCATTCGGCTTCATTAGACTGTCAACAAAGCTCTGGGCTGTTTGTTTAACATGATGATGATGAGAGGATGGAAATCATACGAAGACGTCGCTCTCTTCATTTGGCTCCATTAGACTGCTAACAAAGCACTGGGCTGTTTGTTTTTGGAGTCAGAGCTTTGCATAGAAATTTCTACTCTATGAGATTGATTGGCACCTTTCTATCTTTCCAGACTAGTGTTATATTCCGCTATGAGGAGATATGGGACTCACCGCCTATGGCGATGGTGAGTGTGACTAGCGAGACCCGCCCACGTTAAAAAGTCTTCCACAATTATAGCATGGGATTTTATCTCTGTGAGATGCAGTGTTTTAATTTGGCAGTTCCCACTATGAAAAATATCCAGGAGCAGAACTTGATTCCTATGCTGTAATATAACACAAACATTTTAAGGATGGAAGGGAAATTAAGTTGAGTCAAGAACCAACATAACAAGACTCTGTACATTCCCTCAAGCACTCTATCCTTATCTTCAGCAGCCAATACAGATTTCCAGTTCTGTTGGTACCAGAAGCAGTCTGATTGTATGTCCTTCTTGCATTTTCTCTTAATGTTGAGTGTCGGCCAAATCCCTCAGTCCCCCCCCCCCCCCCCCCCCCATCCTCCACTGCACCGTAGAGACCACGATGGATGAAAAGGAAGTATTCTGTAAAATTCAACTGGTTTACAGAGGACTGTGCTTGAGTTGGTATGCTCCAGGGGGTGATGAAAAGGTAGAAGAAAATAATACAAATTCCTTGTCAATAAAGCAGAGCAGTATATTTTATGTAGAATTCTAACTTCAGCAATGCCTAATAGTAGATTTTGTGCATGTCTGGGTGTATACCTTGATTCCTTCATACTAAAATGGGTTTTATCCACCCATTGTAAATTGTTGAAGTTGGTACTGTTGTTTGCTAGGTATTTTAATTCTAGTGCTGTTAAGGAAATGTTAGATAGCCATGTTGAGAATGCTGGTTTCTTTCTTTTTAAATTCAGGAACTTGGGTACAGTGCAGCAACAAAAAGTGCAGTAAGTGGAGATACTTAGCAGATGTTGAGGATCCCGTATTGATACCAGAGTTCTGGGAATGTAGCATGAATTCTGGTTTGTGCTCTTTATTTACAGATAACTCTTAATCACTACTTGTGGTTTAGTATTCATTTTTTCTGGACTTATTGTGTATTCTGTCATTTTAACTCTTTTATCCATCTGAATTTTGTAGCTACAGTTTTCTTTGGGATGAGATAGCCAGCTTGATTCCAACCCTCCTTATTAACCTTGTTAGAGACCTTTTTCGGTCACCTCTGACAGAATTATCTTTAACAGAGTATCATACGGAGACACTGAGAAAAACACATTGTAGAAGTCATCGACGTGGTCGACATTGACTTTATTAGCTACACATATCCATCATATGAAAACAAAAACCTAACCTGTCAGTCCCTACAAATCATTCACCAATGTCCCGAAAGTCCACCGGTGCGCAAACACATCTCTCAAAACAACGCTACAAAAACAGTCGTATACTAATAATTGGGTCCATGACACACCTCAGAAAATCACCAAACAGGCATTAAAATGGGAAATAAAGGGATTAAAGAAATGACACTCAAAAGAAACCCTAAGATAAACGTTGATGAGAGAGGTCAAAGCTACTGGACTGGATTCCATCCATGGTATTGAACTGATTGCACAGGATAGAAAGGAATGGAGGAGTAGACTGTGAGCCTTATGTGACATATAATAGCACAACAGGACAATGAATGTATGTATTTACTAAAATGTGACTACATTCATCTTATGTTATATATCAAATTAACAAACATAATGTGTCAATCTTCAACAGATAAAAAATACAATTCCTGTGACATACCTCAAATGGAATATCAAGAAACTGAACATATCTACACCAAGTATACCATTGGCACTGTTGTCTGGGCCAAACTAGAAGGATACCCATGGTAAACATGTCTTTCCATCTTTTTTGTACATATTTAAACATTTCTTCAGAATATAATTTTTTGCATAATGAATAAGAAACTGCAGTGACATAGAAGTTAGTGCTCTGATTACTAAGGCAGAAGTCCATTGTCACTTCCCTGTAGCGGACATTTTTCTTTCTTAACCTCTATGGTTCTTGCATCAACCCAGCTTTGTAAAATGGATAATTTTCTCAATATTAAGTGGGAACACAATTTTGGTGAGGTATTTGATTGGTCACCCTATTTCGTTTAGCCGTAACCTAGTTTCAAACTCCATAGTGAAGACCCAGGCTATGAAAAGTGTGGGTTTGATTTATGGACTTCGTCCTTTTTTTCCTCCCACAACTTCTATGTTTCAAAGATCTCTAGAGCAGAGGTTCTCAAACTGGGTGCAAAGGGTGCCTCAGCAATAATCAAGAATATTTTAAAACCTGCTTAAGATCAGCGAAGACAGCAGTTTAAAACAGACACAAAGTGAAGGAAGCCCAGAAGAATTATGGATGTAGGTGTTTTCATAAGACAATGCTATTGGCAAAGCTGCACTGCATTCTAAACGTACGCTTACATGAAAAACAGATACAGGAACAAACTTTCTGGGTCAAGTGATTTGAGGGTAAAATTTATTTGAAGGTAAAATTTAACTTCCCATATACATAAAGTAAATAATGAAAAAAATAATCAAACAGTTTCATTTATCGCATTAAAGCACACTTCTTTTCCTAAATATTTAAACCACTTTAAGAGTAGGTGTGCCACAAAAATGTTTTTTCTTGCCTGACAAGGGTGCCGCGGTGAAAAAAGTTTGAGAACCGCTGCTCGAGGTTATGGCTGGTGAAATAAAGTTATGTACTTTGTGTGATGCTCTTGGCAGGTGTACAGCTTCTGTGAGGAGAGAAACTGATCCTTAAAGCCCAGTTCAGTGGTCAGTCCTCTGGCCTGTTAACTTAAAATTCAAACAACATTGATAAAAAAACTCAGATTCAGTAATTTTCTTGCTATTTTGAATATGTTGGACACTTTGTAATGGTGATCTTACTATCTAAAAACACTCAGGTGGCCTGCTATGGTCGAATGTGATCCAGACACTGATATGTACTATGAGGTGTCCCCACAAGCTTGTATGGTCCCAGTAGGTGGTTGCCTAAAGATTTGGTTTATACATTATTGTTAATGGTTTTTTAAAATAATTTTTGTTTACAAAATTTCTGAGTTGTATTTGAGTTCTCACACTTGACTTATACAAGCGGTGATTGAGAAGTTATGCACTTTAGTGTGAAGAAGTCGAGGCACATACTGGGAAATAGTGTAGTATTTAGTCTTCTATGTATTCATCCCTCAGGACAGGGCACTTCTGCATACAAGTGAAATTCACTTCTACCATTTCTTCTTCACTCTCTCGATGTCCATTATGGCACCGTCGTGCTCGCTAAGCAGTGTGCTAAAACGTGCCACATTCATCATTCTTACTGGAAGTTACACCAAACTACTCTTCCTGATTCCAATCATGAAGAATCTGATTCCTGAAAGTCGAGGTTAAAATTACCAGGGCTTGATTATTATACTAGTGATGGGGTGCCAAGCCCTGATCAAAAAGTTATAGTAAGGAAGGTGAAGAAGAGATGGGAGAAGTGCCACTACTTGAGGTATAAATACATAGATAAGGACTGAAGTACATACCATATTTAAAGTTTAGTAACACTGTGACCTACCTTGTATGTCAAAAGTGGCAACTGGGTGGGGATGGTTAGGTAGCATTGGCTATTTCGACCTGTAGAAAACTTATGCTGCAAAATACAGACAGTCAATAAATGTTCTACAAAAGGCTTCATATAAATTGGTTAAGGGCCTAACCTCCATTAGGAGTTGAAAGGCAAAGGTATTTCCTTGTACAACAGGCCTTGACTGCTTTAACCTTAAGTGCAAAACATTTTGATCACTTCTCTTTACTTTTAAATTTAATACTAGTCATGAAATTTTGTTTTAAAAAGTTCTGTCAGTGTCATCACTATCATTGTCGATAAGCGTAGGTTTTAATTTTTCAGATCTCACACTATCATCAGAATATGGATTAGGTCACTGCTTTTCAGAGCTTTACCCATGCTTATGGCCATGCCATCCAGATATTTATCCTTGCCTTACCTTCCTCTTGCTCTTTCTTCCTCAGTCTTGCCAGTCATCACTTAGTTCTTGAGTCTGTCACTCAATTCTGGAGTCCATTCCTTCTCATAACTTGTTGCCAGGATAAGCATAAAGATATAGCCGTGTCCTTTCAGAATACTGAAGGATCCCTTTGTGGGCTACAGGCTGCATTGGGGGGACGGGTGAGAATAGACCCACTGTCTCCATAAAAAAAAAAAGACGTGGCATAAAAAGCGACTAATTAGGGATTTTTTTCTCCACATTCCGAGCACGGCTGCCTGAGAGGTAAGAGACCAACAATCTGCATACAGGTAAACCAGATCTATAAAATTATGTGCATGCAGAATTCAAGACATGGAACAAGACTAAAGTACATAAGTAGACGAACAACCAGACTTTTCTGCCAAAGTTTACAGCTGGTGAACACTAGGAAGAAGAAAAATACTAGAGGTTGACTATTCATTGTATTTATTATGCAAATTTTGTTTATGTCACCTTTGTTCAAACTGACATCAGGGCGACATTGCTTTGACTATTGTTTATTCACAGTATGAATTGAATGCAACAAATTTTTAAAGTGTTACTTAGATTGTAGATTCACAAGACCAATGTCTACAAGGTAAACCAGATCACTGCGTGATAATATAAAAGTTTCACAATTTCACATTAGATATAAAGGTAGTATGATTATTATTATTATTTACTTTCACACGAGCCACTATGGTGTAGCAGCTACATGCTCACATATGGATCAGAAGTCATGTGTTTGAAATCCACATGGAGCCAAATTCTTGACCTAGGCTTCTAGGTCGACCCAACCTGAAAGGGGTACCAGGTAAAGTCCTGGGAAGTAAAGGCAGCAGGTGGGATGTTGACCTCATCACCCATCGAGGGCCAATTTGTCTATAAAATATGAGTCTATCATCAGAGTACCTATGCGCATTTGGAAGGTAAAGGGACCTTTACTTTACTTTACTTTACTTTACTACTAACAGTTTAACAGTTGACAAGATTTTACTAAATATTTGATCTTAAGTTTCTGTTCAAAACTTTAAAGATCATTCAGTCCGGTTATAAATGTAAAGTCATGGCATCATTTCCACAGCAGATTGTTTGTTGAAAACTGAACACTTACTTGCTAATTGTTTATCCTTAATTTATTGTATAATGTGTTTTTATAATTATTCAGAGTTTTATTGTCAGATAAAAATAAAGGATCTTTTTCCACACCTTTAGAGGTACTGAGCACAAAGTGCTGCAACTGTATTTTATACTCCAGTTGGCACTCGATGGGTAATATGGAAAAAATCACGCAGTCTGCCTTTACTTCCCAAGACATTACCTGGTACCCTCAAAGCTGGGTCAGCTTTGGAGCTGAGGCCATTTTTTTATAAACATCCGGCTTTATTTAGATTCAAACACATGACCTTCATATCCCTAGGCGAACATCCAGCCATTAGACCACAGCCACGTCGGCTTCAACAACATCATTTATCATTCATAATTATGTACGTACTAATTGCTCATCCTTCATTGCCCTTCATTGGCAGTACTGTTATCATTCATTATTGTGTAGATATTAATTATTCAATCTACAGTTGTAAAATCATGTAACGTTCTTAATGTTTAGCGTTAATTGTTGTAACGAGTCATTTTCTCTTGATAATAAATGTTTGCATTAATAATAAAGTGAGATACTGAACATCAGTTGTGTACTTTAGTTCAGATGAATTGGGTTAAGGACCAACGAGTTACACATTTGAATGCAAGGCAAGCGAGCGGTTTGAGAGGCACATGCAAATCAAGTAAATCATGAATTATCTGAGTGAATAATCGAGAAATTAAAGATTGCTAAAGTCGACGAAGAATGATTGAGAAGAATCAGTCTTGTTTTGGGTTCCAGAAATGGTGTGTCTGTGATGCTGATGAATGAATCAAATTAAAAGTGGATGTCTGCTCCAGATTTGGCTTTGAGTTCTTAGACAAAACCTGGTTACCGTTCGGTTTAACAAGTCTGGTAAAAGCTGGCCATGGTGTGTTTCAGCTGTGCATTTGTCTTGATCGTTGATTCAATATGTTGAAGCATGAGTTGGTGTGCATCTGAGAAGTCTGCAGATGACTAGAGCCAAGAGACTGAGCTAGAGAGAGAGAGTCATTTCAATTGTCCTTCCTACACTTTCAGTGTTATGGATCATTCATAACTGCTAGGTATTAATTGCTCATCCAAAATTTGCCATATCATATTTAATTCATCAGAATTGTGTGTATATATTAACCGTTCATCTGTTCTAGTGTCATGAGTCCTTTATTATTGCTATATACTAATTGTTCATTAGATAGTTACAGTACCAAATATCATACATAATTTTTTTAAATACTAAATGTTCATCCTACAGGTTCAGTATCATGTATCACTTAAAATAGCTAGATTGTTTTTGTTGTTCTAATTGTTCATTGTTCATTAGACATTTACAGTATTGTATATCATATATAATTTTTTGTTTAAAGACTAAATGTTCATCATACAGGTTCAGTATCATGTATCACTTATAATAGATTGTTGTTGTTGTTCTAATTGTTCATTGTTCATTAGACAGTTACAGTATCATATATCATACATAATTTTTGTTCAGATACTAAATGTTCATCCTACAGGTTCAGTATCATGTATCCTTTATAATAGCTAGATTGTTGTTGTTCTGATTGTTCATTGTTCATTAGACAGTTACAGTATCATATATCATACATAATTTTTGTTCAGATACTAAATGTTCATCCTACAGGTTCAGTATCATGTATCCTTTATAATAGCTAGATTGTTGTTGTTCTGATTGTTCATTGTTCATTAGACAGTTACAGTATCATATATCATACATAATTTTTTTTAGATACTAAATATTCATCCTACAGGTTCAGTATCATGTATCACTTATAATAGCTGGATTGTTGTTGTTGTTCGTTCATCACAAGTGATGAGGACCATCCTTCTTTCATCCGTCATGAATGTTTGTGATTCCGGAGATGACTTATAAGTCCAGTGTGTGCCCGGAAGAGCCTACGACAATGATGGCAGGGCACAGTGTCTGTAGACAAAGAGCCCGTTTGTCAGTTTTTTCTGGCCTGTCTTCGCTGTTCAACTGCCCTTGAGTTCATCCTTACGTTCTTGTCTGCAAAATTTCTCTGTCAGTCTTTTCCCGCTAGCTTTGTAAACCTTTGCCGGGACTAAGTCTGAGCCAGGTGTTTTACCACTAGAAATTTGGTGAATCGCCTTTTCTAGTTTCCTCTAGGATAGGTGATTGTTCAAGTACCATGTTTATACGGACTTGTGGAAGGCGGTTGATAGTATCATTGATAACAGATAAGGACTGATTTTAAATGCTGTTAAAATGTTCAGCTCATCTTTGAAGAATTTATTCTTTATCCATGACCAAGTGTTTTCCCATCTGCTTTGAGGAGAGAAAGAGGTCTTGATGACACTGATGGACCGCAGATTGCCTTAAATTTTCTGGTCATGTCTGTCAGCAAAGTTAGATTGGATGAAATATACGAAAAAAATGACCAGGGCGATAAATTCGTTTAAAGTGAGGAAGAGTTACTCAATTTCGTCGACCTCACTCTAGTATAGCTAGATACCAATTGTTCATATTACCATAATACAATGTTTCTTATTTCATTTGTGATTGTTAGATAATACTTTTTCATCCTACAGGTGCAGCATCACCTGTCATTCATAACTGTTGATACTAATTTTTCATCTACAGTTTTGCAGTATCAGTATATCATTCATAATTGCTAGATAATGATTGTTCATCCTACAGTTGAGGTATCATGTATCATTCTTTGATGATGATGATCATGTGTCAAGGTCCTGGGTCAGAGCTGGTTGTATAACTCCATACAGAGGTGAACTGCCAAAAGCTAAAGTGAGTTTTATGACCTTTTAGTCTAAATCAGTGGTTCTCAATCTTCCTAATGCCGCTACCCTTTAATACAGTTACTGATATTGTGGCAACCCTTTAATACAGTTACTGATATTGTGGCAACCCTTTAATACAGTTACTGATATTGTGGCAACCCTTTAATACAGTTACTGATATTGTGGCAACCCTTTAATACAGTTACTGATATTGTGGCAACCCTTTAATACAGGTCCTCATTGTGGCAACCCTTTAATACAGTTCCTCATTGTGGCAACACTTTAATATAGTTCCTCATTGTGGCAACCCTTTAATACAGTTCCTCATATTGTGGCGACCCTTTAATACAGTTCCTCATGTTGTGGCGACCCTTTAATACAGTTCCTCATATTGTGGCGAACCTTTAATACAGTTCCTCATGTTGTGGCGACCTTTTAATACAGTTCCTCATGTTGTAGTGACCCCCAACCATACAAATATTTTTGTGGCTACTTCATAACTTTAATTAATATTTGTTTTATGATGGTCTTTAGTGACCCATGTGAAAGGGTCATTCCATTAAAAAAAAATGGTTGTGACCCATAGGTTGGGAACTGCTGGTCTAAATGTTTGACAAATAAGATGACCAGTAAGTCTTTCAGAGAAAATGTGGGCAGAATGTGTTTGAAATGTTTTTTGAATGTTCTGTTCTGAATGTTGAACGTTGAATTAAGAATCAATATCATAGCACTCGGGACACTCCAATAAGCGATACGTCCCCATCTTCAGCAGCAAGCGAAGAGTTCCAGCTCCGATAGTACCAGTAACTGTCTAAATGTACATACATCTGTCCCGCCTTATCCTTAAGTGTTGAGCTTCGGCCACATCTCCTGGTAACTCCTCGCAGTGCTGTTCCCACTTCTCTGTTCACTTGCTTCCAAAAGGCCCTGACAACATCTACTTTGTCATAGATCAATTCACCACCAAGTGGTGCAAAACCTGCCAGTGTATCTGCCTGCTTGTTACCCAACACACCAGCATAACCTGTTCTGTTCTTTATCTCTGCATCCGATTATATCATTGTAAGTATTTTTTTAAAAAGAACAACTTTTTAATGTTATTAGCACACATGGTAAATAGTTCTAGAGCTATATTGTTGTACAGCAGTTGGTACTTGTGGGTAATGGATGTAGTCAGCCACCTTTACTTCCCATGACATTTTCTGGTACCAATTTTGGCTGTGTCAGCTAGGAGCCAAAATAAGTTAAAAAAAAAAAATCAATTTGATGTGGATTTAAAACCAGTACCTCTGGGCTGGCAGGTAGGCATTGAGCCACTGCACTACCTCAGCTCTCCTTATTCTTGTGCCTTGATACATTGAATATTTCAATTTAAAATTTTCAGAATTTATAATTGGGAAGCCACTGAGGTGTAGCATCTAAATGCTCACCTGTGGACCTGAAGAGCATGGGTTTAAATCCCCATGGAGCTGGATATATTTTTTTTTAAACTGGCCTTGGCTCCCAGGTCAACCCAGCCTAAGTGGGTACCAGGTAAAGTTTTAGGAGGTAAAGGTGGCTGGCATGATGTTTATCCCATTGCCCATCAAGGATTTATTAGTCTAGAAAAATCTGTCTAGCCTCATATGCCTGATGCACCACTGGCGTAAAGTTAGAACTTTACTCACTTTACTTGCTTGCCCGTGTTTGTTCGCAGCTCCATTGTGGGGGAACATAAGATTAGACCCACTGCCTCCTAAACAAGCATGTCATAAGACTCTACTAATTGGGGGCTTCCTTCAAAGAGAGTACATCTGCCTGAGAAACAAGGAACCACCAATCTGCATACAGTTAAGTCAGATCTGTTTAACGGATGTGCACGCAACGCTCAGGTTTTGGATCAAGACTAAAGTCCAGAGATGGGCAAACAATCAGAACTTTCTGCTGGAGTTTACAACCTGTGAACGTGAAGAAGAAGAACTTTACTTGCTTATAAATGAAATATGCATTTCTCATTCTAGAAAAATATTGTCAAGATAAAATATCTCAGTATATATTTGCTCTTTCTACCTCTCAGTTTTCAGATGGTCATTCTGCATACAAGAAAGAGATCGCAGTTGCAATGAAAAATGCAGACAAAGCACTACTGCTGCGTTTAAAGGTAATAACTATATTTCGTTGCAAATTGAAAAAAAAATATTATTTAGGAGCTGTTAGAGAGATGCCATACCATATAAATCGTTAACACTAACAGGAGAGACGTAGAAACCAAAGTAAATCAAGAAAAAGATGGAAAGATAACATAAGAGAAACTCTACAACAGTATCAAGTGTCTAAGGTCAAAGTGACCAGAAGACATGCATGCGAAGCGAACCATGTCTCTCCATTGACAATCAGAATGGTAAAAGATGAAGTTGAGAATAATAATATTAAAAGTGGTTTTTTTTTTTTTTACTTTTTGAGTCCCAGTGGGTTTAGCATGACAGACCCTAGGGGTAGTCAAGAGAGACATAAAATCAACATATCATACGTTAATTGGGCCTTTATGTAGGAACCTGTGAACATATGATGCGTTCCTTGGGACTCAGAGAGTTAAGAAACAGTCAAAATACTTACAATTTGCATAAGTGTTTACTTTTCAGCTGTCCACATACTTACAAATTGAGAGCATTTTATGTTTTTAAAAAAATCTTCTTTGTTTTACCAGAAATTGTGGTCATGTTTCAAATAAAATGTTCAAATATACAGTTGAAAAGCTACATAAAGACACATTTTCTTACTTGTATAAACAATTACTGTGCATTTTGTTCTTCTACATTTGAAAGGATCGGGTAGAAACATATGGCTTCCAGAAGCGTTTTTTATGTAAGTACGAGAATTATGCAGCAATATTGTTAAACTTACGATTTGTTAACATTATTCTTAAAGGATGTTTAATGTTGACAGGATCTACATTTTATACCATTTGTTTCTGCAGAGTAGCTGTTTGTTTGCCGTTAGTGTCACAATGAAACTAGTTTAAGCAGTGACTCTCAGAGGCCTCAGGAGGTCACAGTCCTCCTCCTTCAGTTTAGTTTAATTAGTCAGCAGATTATCACATGGAACCTTTGGGTCCATAAATGCTCGAATCCCATCCACAGTAAGTAAATCCCACAGCGTGTAGCAGCTGACGACTCTTTCTATGTTGATTTCATATTCTTCTTAGGCTTCCTGCATAGTGCTCTTGTCCGACCACACCGCTTTTAACATGTTTTTGTTTTCTGGTCATGGTTGCTGATTCACAGTCATCACTTGGTTATCGCAAACATCTTTCTTCTCGTAGAGCATTCAGAATATCAGTCTGGTCCATAGCTCTAGAGTAGCTTTACCTGCAAGCCTATCAGCTGAACATAGCTAAAACAAAGATAATGCATTCAGATATTTGTCAGCCCTGAGCACTTCAGAGACTCCAATCCCTGTCTTCTGACCCAGCCCATCTCTATCTTCCTAAGGGTACTCATTGTATCACAGAGAAATCAGGTGAGGCTGAAATTTTGTCTCTAGCCATAGTATTGCCTTCAAGACTACCATGACTTCCATAGTCAGACTACTTGTGGTCAAAGCAAAAGCACCAGAATCTTGCTTCACAATTCGGACTCCAACCTGAGCCGTAAAAGCCCAAGAGCTTCTCACATGGCAAACCACAGATCCATCTGTGTAAATGACAGCATCCCCCTCTAGAGCATTCTAAAAAAAATCAAAGCTTGCACTTCTGCCTCCACAGCGGCCGGACTTTTTTGTCAGAGTTTTCTGTCTGGTGGGATGCAAACTGAAAAGGTCGTACAGCGCTCTGCTGGTACTCGTACCCATTCCTCACCAAGTTCTACGTCCTCAAGTGAACACACCTGCTGAATAATCTCCTCGACCTGAGCCATCCACAATTTTCCCCCTTTTAACCTGCTGCCTTTTTTTTCTTAATTTCACTAAGCTGCAGATGTTGTATGTCTGCGTTGACTCTGAGGTAGGCAAGTGCTCGGCAGATTTCTTCACATTCACCGACTGGTTACTCCAGCAGAAAGTTTTTATTGTTCATCGGCATCTAGATTTTAGTCTTGTTCCAGAGTTTTGCATGCTCATCTGTTTTACAAATGTGGCTTATTTGTATACAGACTGTTGGTTTCTTGCCTATCAGCAAATGCATTCCGACTCTTACGACATTCTTATTAGGGAGGCAGTGGATCTGCCCCCCCCCCCCCCCCCCACTTCCAATGGGACCCAGGAACCCACACAGGGAGAAGTCCAGAATTGACCAATTTACATAGCAAGAGACAAACAGCTTAATCATTTTGTCATAAATTACCTGTCTACTATTTCTATTATCTAATCCCAGTCTACGTTTATTTTCTCTAGTGAATTCAGTTATAAAGAAAAAAACTACGTTAATTACAGATGCTTGTGGTATTATGAATCTATCATATCTAAAATTTAAAATAATGTTGTCATTGTTAACAAATGAAAATATTTTTTTATATACACTAAAATGCCACTTTAATACAATTATAGTGGCCTTTGATATGTTTATTGTTGCAATGTCTAGCACAAAACAGAATTTTAAATACTCTATATATTGGGAGCCATGGTGGTGCACTTACTAGATGTTTGCTAGTCTACCCCAACGTCTTGTGTTCAGATCTTATGTAAAGGCCCAACATATAATCTCCCAACAGCAGTATGTGCTGTGGAACTGTTTTTAATTATAACTGGGTTAATTATTTATCACTATTTTGATAATTTTCTGTACAAATAAAATGAAATGTTCATTAATTAATTCCATATAACATTAAAATCCATGTCTGTTTTGCATGTAACATTTTTTGTATTTAGACTTACAGAAGTAAGGATGTTTTAAAAAAAAAAACTTCTAAACTTTTTCTTACAGCAAAAAGGGTTACAAAAATAAGAAGTTTGAAGAAGATAAAAAGTCCCAAGCTTCATGGTTCTGCTGGACATGTTTTCCTCAAGTCTGAGTCTGTAGATTATACTCGTGGAATACACAAATCTCCTTCTTTTAAAGGTATGATTTTTTACTAGAAGTTATCGCATACTTACTATACAGCATATATGTATTGGGGAGAGGAAGGAAAGGGGGGGGGGGGCGTGTGTGTGTATGTATGGGATAGGGGGGTCTTGAACCTGAGGATTTAAGACCACATGAAATTCTAATCATTTGGTTAGCCAGCCCCTCAGTGTTAACAAAACATGCAAATTCAGTACAAGTAAAGCTTGTGATAAGATTAATTATCATGCATAAACATTCTCAGACCTAATCCTCCAGGGAACAGCTGAGGGCAAATCAAGATGGAGAACATCCTTGACTAATAAATTACCCTGAAACCCTGGAAACCTAGAAAACATGCCAGTGACTCATAAATATAAAAATCCATAAAAAAATACATAATTTTACTGGTCACCCCCAAAAAAATGATAATTATATTTATTATAAAATTAAATTCCAGACAGAATGCAGGAAGTCAATAATAAAATGTAGCAGAGAATTAACTGGGTCATATTTCCGTGAGTCTAAAGATAAATGTTTACAGTCTAAAATTTTTTTTCAAACTTTGCCACATGGTTGCAAGTTAACGCTTTGACCTGTGGGAAAATTACTATTTCATAATTTCTATTAATAGCGCCCTTTTTCACAGGAAAACTCTAAAAACGGTAATTTTGCCAATTTAGTCAATCCTGGTCCTTCCAAACATGTAAGATGCCGCAAGCGATAACAGTACATGATCTTCCCTCATTCTCTATGAAACCCTTTGGACAATACATGATCTTCTCTCATTCACTGTAAAACCCTTTGAACAATACATGATCTTCCCTCATTCACCGTGAAACCCTTTGAACAATACATGATCTTCTTTCATTCACTATGAAACCCTTTGGACAATACATGATCTTCCCTCATTCACTGTGAAACCCTATTGAATTCTCGCCATATTGTTAACAGAGAAAATGCATTTCACATTCTGTTTTACAGACAGTTAAAAGATTGTTTCACTTTTCTGAAGCCCCTGCTAAAAGTCATTCTTCTCCATTGTTGTGTAATACTTTAGATCTTTTCTCCAGGCCATGCCGGCATGGTGTGAAACTATCAGGCAGACAGATTGGCTGAATCTGCATCACTGGGTGGTGAATTGATACATGACAAGGACCTTTGGGAACAAGCAAGGGAATCAGTAGAGATGGAAGATTATTATGGCCTGGAGAGAATGAGGCATCTAAGTGTAACCAGAGGGTCTGGCCAGCTCACTACACTCAGAGGAAAGGCAAAACGGACAAATAACCAGATTGTGACCTTTACCATCAATATTGGAACACTGCAGTGGCTGCTGAAGATGAGGACGGAGCATGCAAGGAAATGCCCTGAGTGCTGTGATGTCAACTCAGTGTTGTGTAGAACAAATGATGAACAAACTTAATTTTTAAAGGGTTAAAAACTTGATGATGATGATTATGTGTATTTGTGTTTTATTCGATAGTATACAGTTGACTCAGACTGTCAGCAAAAAAAAAAGAATAGTGTCTTCTTTGTTAGATTTTACAGAGTCCCCATGTGGGTTCCAGGCCCTGTTATAGGGAAAACAAGAACAGGCCCACTGCCTACCTAAAAGCATGTCGTAAGAGTCGACTAATTGGGAGCTTCCTTCAAAATTGGAGTGCATCTGCCTGAGAGGCAAGAAAACCAACAGTCTGCACACAAATGAGTCAGATCTGTAAAATGGATGCACAGGCAACACTCAGGTTCTGGAACAGGACTGCAGTCCAGAAGTGGACAAACAACCTGTTTCCACCAGAGTTTACTGCAAAAAAGAATAAAGAAGAAGTTTTACAGAGGAAAAACATAGAGTTATACGTGAGTTACTTGAAAGTAAAAGTAAAGGATCGTTTCGTGTGAATGGCACATTGGGCATATAATGTTAGTCTCATATTTGTTTAGGGCAGTCAGATGTACGGCCAAAATCACAGGGCCGCCTTCACTTCTGGGACATTTTGTGGCTCTGATTTTGAGCGCGGCCAACCTGGAAGCCAAGGTCATTTTTTAAAAATCCTCCCGAACCCAGTACCTTCAGACTTACAGGTGAGCGTTTAGCCACCACGCTACAACGGCTACCGATAAGCAACTTAATACAAATATATTTAGAAATAACCTTATAAGGTTTGTGTGCTACAGATGTTCACTAGTTTATTACTAATGCCAGGTTCTGGACCTCTAAAGAAAATTACAAAGAGGAGACCACTAGAGACCAAAATTATGAACAACCAGACAGGTAAAATATCTTTCACTTATTTTTGTGAGGTTTTACAGTTTAGAACAGTTATTGTTTTTAACTCTTTGACTGTGGATTGTGGATATATTTGCTCTGGATGACTGTTTGTGTATACTGCCTATACTGTCTGTATTTACCACTTGATGTAGCTCGGGGTGGGGCTGTAAACCTTTGAGATCAAATGGCTGCTGCAGTCGCCACAGACTGTGTAGGTTTAGATTTTTGTTTTGTCCCTGAAAAAAAAAAAATTTGTCCCTCACAGAGGATCAAATGGCCTATTTTCTAAACCTATAGTACCATTGGGAAGTCGTGGTGGCGTAGCGGCCAGACGCTCGCGTGGGGATTGGAAGGTCATGGGTTCGCTCCCTGGTAAAGCCGGACTTTTTTCAAAAATGACCTTGACTCCCAGGTCAACCCAGCCTTGAATGGCTACTGGGTGCAGTCTGAGGGAAGTAAAGGTGGCTGGGGTGATGCTGACCACATCACCCATCTTGTGCCGATTGGCCTATAAAAATATAGGTCATGCCCTATACGCCTAAAGGCGTAGAAAAGGGACCTTTACTTTTTTCTTTTTATAGTATAATAAGTGGAAGACAGGCAGGTGCTTTGTTGGGAAAAAAATTGTCATGTTCAGCCAGAATCCTCAAAGGTGGAGCTTTAGGATATAATTGTGGCCTGGTTATATGCGCAATCTAAAATGGCTTAGCATTGCATACTAAGAGCCCTAAAAAGGACTCCTGCAGTGTTAATGCGACTAAAGGAGACTGTATTTGTTTATTGGAATGATGCGATAGCTGTAAGCAAAAATGTCTGCAGCTTCTTCTTCTTCTCTTCCACCTTGTACCTCAGCGAAGTGTCAGGGGGAGATGTAACATTTGTTGATGAGCTCTGTCAAGAGCACTATTAAGACTGATGTTCATTTCTGTAAGGCTGTTCTTAATGCCATCACCCCATATTTTCCGAGGTCTTCTACTCGCTCAATACCTGTTGTAATGTTTTAGTTGAGATTCAAGGAAAGAACTAAACACACGTCATTAGTTACTTAAAATTAAATTGGGGATTAAACACAACGCACCCTTGCTACAAGTAGTGTCTATGAAATAAGAGACACTGAACCTCAGTTGAAGCAGAGGTGAAAGTCAGTGGTAGCAATATGATTATTAATAACACTACAGAGAAGAATTTGGAATAAGGTTCAGATACTGTGTGTAGTAATGTGTCGGCATCTGTGGTGTTGCAGATGCGCTTTGTTATGTCATGGTCCTGTGTTTGATCCCAGCTGCAGAAGATTTGGCAGCAAACCGTCTTGCATTATTTTTGACAGTGATACCTACAGCCGTCCATTCAGGAAGTGATGGCAAACTACTGAGCATAAACTTTTCCTAGAATAAACATCTGATAAATGCTTTGTGTCATCCTGAAGAAGATATGCAACTAACTTTATAAATATTAGTTCACAGCAAGCTTCATAGAAGTCTCTCTCTCCAAGTCTAACTACTGCCTTTCCAAAATTTGTTAAAACTGATTATTTATAATTATCACAGTGAAATCATCATTATCATATGTCATGCCAACTGACATGGGCAATCAGGCCTCTCCACAAACTGCAGTCTGTAACTTCGTGTATCAGCTCATATAATGACACCCCTCTATCCCATGACACAAGACTGTTGAGAATCTTTTTTGCTATGTCTTCCTGTCTCCCTTTCCACAGATCTTCCCAGTGGAAAAGAGACATAGTTTGCTTTAACTCTTTCAGTGCCAGCCAGCATTTACTTGATCGTGTTCTATTGTTAGAATGTCTATATTAAATAATTAGTTTATAACAGGAGTTAAAATTATAATCACAGCCTTATGGGACATAAAGTGTTCAGTAATAATTCTGTTAGCACTGGTTATTATAATAAGGTTATCAGGTTATGAGACAATTAACACCGCTTCTGGCTTCTGTCAATCAAAGCAAATCTAATAAGAATGGTTTTTGGCCAACATTGTGCTGTCAGTGCCAAGCATTAATCCTCAACAACTAATGAACAGAAGATCATAACAATAGAGATGAGATGTCTTAGGAGAGCTGCCGGTGTGACAAGAGATAAAATCAGGAAAGGACTAATAAGAAGAAGACTAGGACTGAAACCATCATACATTTCATTAAAGAACAACAAATGAGATGGTTTGGCCACCTGGCGAGAGTGCCCTGGTACCAGCTGCCACAGAGAACCAGGCTGAAGCAATATAATGAACACAGTGCAAGGGGAAGACCAAGCAAAATATGGAGCAACATCATCAGGAGCAACCTAACAGAAATTAACACCAACTTGTATGTACAATGCATTGGGAAAATTGCACAAACAATCCTTACATCTCCCCCAACACCTTGCTGAGGTAAATGGTGGAAGAGAAGAAGAAAAAAGAAGTAACTGTCCATTATAGATACAGTAAGACAAGTATACTTTATTTAGACTAAGCGGTGAACATTTGGTGAGCTGTGTGGTACATAAGGAGTTAAGAAACCACTGTTACAGGTTGCGATGTTTTTGTATATTTATTAACCACGAATTATTCTTAACTCCCCAGGGCAGCCCAAAGTCCACACATCCAGAGATACACAGTTGAATAGTGGAACCAACTCAGATACATCTGGAACAACCATTCCTGATAAATTGTCTAAAACAGCCATTAGTGTTGGCAACGGTAATATGAGGGCTAGTGATAAACATGGAAATTCTGATGAAAAAGAAAA